TTCTAGTTGATAAGGAACAACTCCCAAGGCTGAGATTCTCCAGTCACCCTAATAAATGGTCATCTCTGGCACCTTACTGTCTGGGAGATTCCTTGGGAGAGACTCATCCCGGGTTGTTTACAACTCTAAAGTCAGAGAGCATTGTTACTCATCCTCCATCTCGATCAGCCAATTAGGAACTGGTAGGGCAGGGTTACCCCACGTGGGTCTCAAATGACAGTACAGCCCTCTACTCCCCTGCGCATAACAGGGATGTTGGCTGCATGGGCTGAAGGAGGTCTCGAATAGCAAAAATAAATAAAATAGAGCAAAAAAAAAAGCGATATTATGGACACTATATTGACATTTTTTTATATTTCTAAATATCCCAACATGTTCAAAGCTATGTGCCTAATAACAATGACAAATTTCAAACTGCTACTGTATTGCCACTACAGTATAGCTTGTGGGAAATACATTTATTTGTCCTTCATCAAAGTTTAACTCATTCAGAGCGCCCTATATTACAAACTCCAATCATTTCATTTTGTCTATTGCGACAATATCAACAGCAATGTAGTTAAGAGGAACATGTCAAAATGGTTGATTGTGTTAGCAGTCTGGGTATGGCGAGTTTTGACTGTTTCCTGCCAGTCTTTCATTGGAAGTCTCACCTATTCTACTAGTACATGAGAATATAGGGGAGAATGAAAAAATGCATGTGGTCATTTTTTTCACTGACAATGTTGTGTTGTGTTAACACAAACTCTGCTTAACAGAGCTGCTTGTAAGAAAAGGGTGACTTTCTGCTATCTAAACCATGTTTTACAGCTTTTAAAGTCCAAAATGTTTGAGTTAGGCAGGAACACGTCATTGTATCTTATTTCTTATTTCATTTTTAAAAATAAATATAAGCAATCAAATGTCCTTTTTTTCTTAACACTCATTTTTTCCATACTATAGTTTTTAAACCTGAACAAAGATGTGCAAAGAGCACAATGTTGTATAGTTTTAAAGCCACTACAGTATAGCTTGTGGGAAATACATTTATTTGTACTGCATCAAAGCTTAATTCGTTTAGAGTGCCTGGCATTACAAACTATGAGTTAAAAGGAACATGCCAAAATATTTCCAAAATAATCACAAGTGAACAAGTTGATGGATACGATAATAATAGAGAAATGATAACAATAATCGTGTAATCCAGCTGAAAGAAGTACACTTAAATCAACATGAAAATACTGTATATAAATCAGTTAAAAACACTTTTTATGCACGTAGGGTCTTTGAGTCTTTGTGTAAGCTGTAAATGATTTTTACTTCTTAATTTAACATTTGAAACACTTTAATTTGTAAATGCAACACGCAAATTGTACAGAAATAAAATCATGTTTTCTACAGGTGTTAAGAAGATTAACAGACAAAATAGCACACCATCCACTAACTGTCCACCACTGTCCAGTGATATAACTTTAATATAAACAAGATCTAGTACCTGGTGCAGTTTTAAAAACTATATATTTTGAATTAATCGAATCCCAGGTGTGAGTTCATAAACTCAGAATTACCTACTATCCCTACGTCTGCAAGACACCTGATCAACTACTGTAAAGCTTTCAGTGCTTTGTTTGTGTATATTCCAATCTCAGCGGGGGCAGGATGTGCAGGGAAAGGTTTAGGCTGTAATTGAATTCTCTACACCTGAAACATTGTTTTCTCTGAAACCATTTTCTTCCCTCTTTAGCTGATCTTTTGCTGCCTACACATGCTTACACAGCCCCCCACGTGAATTCTCAAAAATTGTAAATATGATGTTTACATTGGCACTTTTATAAATGTTTCACTTAAGCATATGGAGGAGTGTCAGCTGTCAAGGAGAGCTCCCTCCCCGACGGACAGACTGATAAAGAAATTTCGAAGTGTTAACTATCCAGCCATTGCAAGCCACTGCAGCAGTGACAAATAAATATAAAATATTTTTTTTCTCCTGATGGTAACTGTAACAAATTGTCACGTTTCCCATCCTTGTGAAACAATCATGACGTTCTTATCCAATCAAATGTTCGATGTTTTTTTTTTATTTTTAAACCTTGATCTTGACATGCAGGTAGAGTTAACCACTTAAAATTTAAAAGGTTAGTAATAATATCTTCCAATGTCGCATTAACAGTGGAATGTTCTTACAAGTGTAGAAAGAGGCGATACAGAATGTGTCTCCTCTATAACTCTTCAGTTTACAGAGAAATTCCACCACAGTCACACAACATTGTCCAATAATACTCTCCTTGTGTCTAATTTCTAGTTTAGCGGGATTTGCGCGATAAGCACATTGTTTAATGGGGATGACATAACCCACGTCTACTGTATATCACTGTACCACACAGGTTTGAGTCGGAGTGTCTGTTAATAAAACAGAGTGCCTTCCAATACATATAACTACTGCATGATTTCTTTATCCGTTTCAGCTAAATGAGGGGAATTAAATCAGTCAGAATCTCAGAGTGCCAAATGAAAAATAACCCTTCTTCCCTCCTTTATTGAACTTAAAGAATTGTTGTGAAGAAATCCTTAATCACAATATCATCACTTAATTTATCCAGATACACAAATTCATGCCAGAGACAACAACAAGCTATAATACAACATTTATCTTTTTACAATAACAGCAATAAAACGATAAAACGTTAATTCTTATGCATAAAATATTTATGCATAATTAAAATATTTATGATGAAGGTGGAAGGTTGTGTACTTTTGTCCAACTGAGTAATCTTGCTTTAATAAAATATAAAGATTTTTTAAAGTATAATGATTAACATGCTGTAAAACACAGCGTTTTCTGGCGTCATCTCAAATGCTGTACATGAGATGTTAAGCTTTATTACAGTAGCTCCACCTGGCGGTTTTACAAGGTGCTTCCGGATACTACTATCATAATTCAATTTGCATGCAGTATAATGCGATATGATGCACCATGCTTACTGCATTTTGATGCAGCGTACGCCGTGCATTTTAAATGGCTGGATCTGTATATCTCAGTATGCTAAATATTAAAATATGAATATTGTAGCGTTCTCATCAGGCATCAAGCACCAAGCAGACAAACAGTGGGGCTGGCGATGTCAGCCCCAGAAGAGCATGCTGGGATAGGTAGGGATTTGTCTTGGATAAGTGGGAACTGTCAGGGACATTGCTAACTCCTGGATCTTGGGGGGAAGGACAAGGGTTTGTTACGTGGTATGTGAGCATACCTGTGTGGTTGTCTTATGTTTCCCTGTCTGGGCTTGTGACCTCAGGCTCTCACCCTGACCTTCTCCTGGCTTTTGTCAGCCGGGACCCCCACATTCACTCTGTGTTGAGGTGGCTTCCTTTTTGCTGGCTGGTGAGAGTTTTATTTTTTTTCCATTTCCCACTGTTCTGCATGTTTATTTATAGATCACAAATGTTCTCCCTTAATTATTATGGTGAAAGAGATTGTTCTTTAAGGAAATCACATTTATAGAGAGCTGACTTGTATCAGCTTCACTGTAAGTTACAGTAGACAACTTTGAAAGTGATACAAGTCATGTCTCTTTGTTTTATTACATGCTTATTTGATTTTAAATACACTGTTTTTAAACCATTGTTAATCTCTTAATATTACTGTACAATATATTTAGCACAGGGAAGCACTAATGGGTTAATAAACATTTATTTTTTATTATCACAATATGAATTGTGTGACAGCATACAAATGTATTTTCCTTGTAGAATTACTATTTACATTTGATAAAAAACAGTAACATCTGACAATATTCAAAAAATAGGACAGACAAATGCAAGTGACTAAAATGTATTTAAAAGGCTAAAACAATTAAACAAAACTTTTAAATATGTTTCTGTGTATTCCACATTGTTTTACTCAGTATCTCAGCCCAGTGAGTGAATGATGGCCGTGAACAGTTTCTGTGATATTTGGACATTAGTCATCATCTGAAATAACCTTCCTTTAATTGCAGGGTAGACACACTCACACCAGAGCCGATTTTCCCAGGAGTCAATTAACCTACATATACAGTATGCCTTTGGACTGTAAAAGGAAAAGTGACAGTATTCACTTTTGTTAAAATATATTGACTATAACTTTTGTTATTGTCTACCTCATAGGTTATATTATTCTCATATACAGTAGTTAATCACCTTTATATTGTCAGCTATACATAAATATGCAATTACTATTGAGAATTAAGCTTCATCAAATGTGTTTAGCACCATAGATTAACTTTTTGAGAATTTTAGTGAATACAGGAGTTTTTTACTCAAAGATCTATTAGCCCACAGAGCTGGGCTGGGTTGTTAAGAGTCAGCTTTCCTTCAGTTGGTTGTGAGCAAATGGAGACTGTGATAACCAATTTTCCAGTTTTTTTTACTTACCAGAAATCTACGAGCAGGAATTTAGTTTAAGGCAAAAGGTTGTTATATACAACTTGAATTTGAAGATTATTTTTAATACAAAGCAGAAAAGACCACATAGCATGAAAAATAAAAAGTTTCTTATAGTTTGCAGCTTTTAACAGACATACTGTAAAACAAAGCAAAGTTGCTGTGTCCTCAAACCAAAAAGAATTAAACTTACTTTCCTTATGTAACACAAATGTTCCCTCAGAACTCTGGGTTCTTATTTGAATAGTGTTTTGCATGGAACTAGATAGTTTACAGTAATTTAAACTATAGTTAGGAAAAAGTGATTAAACAAGTACCTTCATTACATACATGTGAAATTCAGTCTTTTAGTTGCCTAAAGAACTTAAAATGTGTACATATTATATTTTATTAAGGTAACTTTACATTCAAGGATAGTAAGATTCAATCTATAAATCTATACTTTTATATATTAAAACCCACAAATTACATGCTAAATTAAAATATAACTGTTTATAGTATTTTTTCTCAAGAAAGTAAATGAGAAAGAAAAAGAGATAAAGAAGAAACACATCTTAATCCCAGAATACAGCAAGCAGAAAGTGAAGGAATGAAAATTGTTAATGTTTTTCTGGGAATAGGTTAATCAAAGAAGATGCTGGACTACATATTTTGAAAGTTACAATGAGTTTCAATGACTTTTGAAACCAGGGGTAAAACAAACCATAAATAACAGGATTCACAGAAGAATTAAAATACACCAGAAAAGAGAGAAAATTCATTAGCACAGAAGAAGACAAATTCATATTTGCTTCCACAATAATACAGATATAATATGGGACCCAACATAGAAGAAAACCTAGAACAACAATACCTAATGTTTTTGCAGCTTTTCTTTCAGATTTCTTGGGGATTGTTCTTTGGACCCCAGTGGTTGAATGTATTTGATCTGCAGCACATCTGATGGCTTGTGCGTGTTTTCTAGCAACTATAAAGATTTTTAAGTAAAGTGTTAACATTATAGAACAAGGCACAACAAATGTAATCAGTAGGTCAGCTGTTCCCCAGTTTTTATTGACTGAAAGTAGGCAGTCACCAAGGCAAGCATTCAGTTTTGCAGATCTGCCTATATTTTCATTACAATAAATGAGTGCAACATTATACAGCAGTGACACTAACCAGCTCAACAGTATGAATAAGCATGGTATTTTAATAGTTATTTTGGTGGAATAAAGCAATGGATCACATACTGCAAAATATCGATCAATTGCTACAAATACTAAATTACTGATCGAAACTGAGGTCAATACAAACACAAAAATGTTATAAAGTGTGCAGAATGTTTCCCCAAAATACCAGCATGTTTCTATTAGTTCAATTAAAGAGAAAGGCATCACCATGACTCCAACCAGAAAGTCTGCCACAGTCAGGGAGAGCAGGAGGAGGTTGGTTGGTGTGTGGAGCTGCTTGAAGTGAGAGATAGAGATGATCACCACCAGGTTTCCACACACTGTCAGCATCACCACTGCCACTGCAGAAATATACATCACCACATACACAGCTGGAGATCGGACTTCTTTAGAGCAGGACAAATTATATTGCTGATAACAATAATTCAATGTTTTAAACTCTTGTAGCTCATGTAATTCCAGTAATTTGTAATCCATTAAAAAATCTTTTTAGAGTTGATATAAGATCCAAGGAAATTAAAGAAAAATGTTTATATATATATACAGTACGTTAACAAGCAGGACACTCAATTTTGAAATAAAAGGTTAAGATAATACTAGTTTGAAACCAGTCACTTTCCAAATGCGCCTTGTTTTTTCCTGTATTTATGATAACAGGGGGTGTACTGGTCCTGCCTGTAATCAGCAGGGGTTGATGGTGACTGTTCCTCACTCTAATGACTCTTATTCTACTGGGAATAGTGGGAGGACCATAAAGCATACTCGCCAAGCTCAGATTAAACTAAAATGAAAAATGAGAAAACACAGATGGTAGACAGAGAGAAACTACAGTTTGCTTAAGTAAAGAAAAAAACATAAGAAAGCATTTTCTATCTCATTTCAAATGTTATTCACAGATCATTTGTGGCTGCACATGAAATATCACCTAAGATTGTCTTACATATATGTAACATATATGGACATTCCTCCATTTTGATTGAAATACCTCCTCAATTAATGATGTATGCCTTATTAAAATTGACATGAATAATTACTAAAAGGCAAATGTACATTTATTAGATGAATGCCATATTCAGATAAATTGCTTTCCAAAATCCTTTCCTTTCCAATCGTGTCACGTCATGTCACCTGTTTTTTAACTGCTTCAATTAATACACTGTCATTAGGGAGCCAGTGCCTACCCTAGCAAGCAAAGGGCACAAGGCAGGATATACCATGGATGGGACAGTAGTTCATCACTGGGCACACACAGACACAAGCACACACATGCTCACACCAGTGCCAATTTTCCCAGAAGTCAATTAATCTGCCAGTTTGTCTTTGGACTCTATCATATAAACTCTATGCAGATAGCAACCCAAAAACTGAAACTAGGACCCCAGCCCTGTGAGGCAACAATGTTGCCTACTGTGCCACTGTGACGCCTCAATTTGTCCCATTTTGTTAAATCACAAATTACATACAGTATGTGTATTTTAAGTTAATATGTTTTGATTCAGCTATAAACTGAATGTTTTAATGGGAGAAAGTAGTTTTGCAAAATGTAAAATCCAAAACAAAAATATACATTAAGTACAGTTAATACATGGTGGGAGCAACTTTTTTGGATACATACTGGATCTACAAACCTTGCATCACGGTATGGTGCTATTTTTGTCCATTCTTGTCCTTCATTTTTCTGGTCAAGCTCTGTCCATTTGTTTGGGGAGAGATGATGGACAAATATTTCCTAGTCTTGCCAAAGATTTTCAATCGGCTTCAAGTGTGGACTTTTACTGGACCACTCAGGGACATCCACTTTGTTCTTATTAATACACACCATTAATGTAGGTTTGCGATTTTTTCAAGGTTTAATTGTCATTCCAGTTTAAGGGCTTTAGGAGACTGAGGCAGGTTTTTCTCTAAGACTTTTGTGTCATTTACTTCCTTTCATTTTCCTGTTAGTCTTGACAATCTGAACTCATGGTGCATGGCAACTTGTTCAATAAGGACCTCCAAGCAGTCCTGTGAACAACTGCAGCAGCTGGACTCAAACTGCACCTGGAAAAATGTCAACTGATGAGAAAAAAGGTGCTTTTCCTTGTGCACAAGGTGAGCAGAGTAGGCCTCACCAGTGCCAAGGACAAGGTTGCCAGTTTCCAAAAGTGGGTGGTGCACAGCTCTCTCAAGCAGTTATGGGGCTTCCTTGGTCTGGCCTCCTTCTATCATCAGTTTGTGCCCAGATTCACCACCATCACTGCCACCCTCTATGAATTAACCCAAAAAGATATGGTCTCATGGGACCTGAGTAGACAGAGGGTCTTCAAGACCCTGAGGGAGGCACTCTGCTCAGCCCCAGTTTTTACCTTGGCCTACCCACAGTTCCATTTCATCCAGGACACAGACGCCACTGCAGAGGGACGAGGTGAGGTTAATTTAGGTAAAATTACAGTTACGGTTAAGAGGGAATGCTGGTGCATCTGGCTGCCGCTCATCTAGTTTTCATTCTTTTTCTTTTCATTAATTTTTCCTTTCTTTTTTACTTTTTTTTCTCTGTTTCCTTCATTTTAATTTTTAACTGCTCACGTAATCCACAAACAGACTACCACTGTGACTGCTTCAACTGCCGACTACTCACCTTGATTAAGGATATCCTTCAGGATTCAGGATCCAGGATTCCTTTCCCGGTTTTTGTCGCAACATTCTGGATTCCATTCCAAAATGTTTCTAAGGTACTCCCCATTGCAAGTACAGCAAATGAAACAGAATTATTTCATGGAAAAAACCCGTATGATTACTGCCGTAATATTGCAATCCTGCGACCAATTTGTTACATTCACATTCATATTTTGATTCACATTGAACTTCACTATGCAGCACTGTGGTGGCAAGTGGCATGGAAACACTGACATGCTCTCCAAGAGAACCTTCACTAAGACTGAATGGATGCACTGCACAAAATGTGAGGCAATAGACGAAGGTCAAGAGCCGTATCAGGCTACAAGATGCAGGATATGGGTTCCTGACCTTCCACCAGTTGATAAATACAATTATCACAATTCAAAATTGAAAACAGTCTGAAAGTGATGATTATCCATTAAGGCTTTTAAAGCTGAATTCGCACAACAAAGTTAGTACAGGCCTCATGGGTGTTACCCCCCCCCCCCCCGTTGCTATAACCTGTCCTGGCTCTGAAACTTCAATAATCCAGTATTTCCACAGGAGCTTAAAGGGACAGGTTTTAGCATTTTCACTTCAGCCCTTAAACAGGGCCCACAGACCTTTTCCAGTGCTCCTTTGCCATGGAAAAAACGCACTTGGCTATGTCATGCTTCATTTTTCCTCTGAGGTTCACAAGGATTCTCTCCCCCAGTTTCTTCGACCCCCCTCTGTTGTGCTGGTTGAGAGTATTCCTCGCTTTCCACACTCCTTGTTTTGTGAGGGACACCAGCAGCCACAGCAGGTATTGCATCCTTTTGTCCATTCCAGTCAGTGCCAGCCCCAGCAGGATGCACTGGTAACTTAGCACTGTTCCCACTCCCATTGTTCATTCTGCCCTGTGGTGAAAGGGCAGCTCCAGAAAATGTGCTCCTCAACAAAACACTTGTCCCAGGAGCAGTGTGAGTTCCTGATGTGCCAGTAAAGCAGCCAGCTTCCAGTTTTGGTCCTTCAACTTGTTGTCCAGTTCCTTTGGCTGTGTCCTTTCCCCAGTTTCTTTCCGGCAACCAGTTGCCCTCTCACCTCCTTGTGAGAGGTTGGTTCTATGGTTGGTGCAGAGCTCTGTCTGTCTCTTGGCCTCATACCTTTGCCTTCACATGACAGTGTGGGAGTAGGTTCCTGATTGCTTTCTGCTTTCAGTCCAGTGTTTGAACACTGCATTAGTTGCATAAATGGGAGGAAGAACCGCAACCTGTCAAAGTACTGGTACTTGTGGCTGATTGGGTCCTGTAACCCTGACAGAGTTTGCAGAAGATGCAAGTTTCCTCAACCACATGGCACATCCGGTTTCTTATGATGTACTCGTTCCCTAGATGAACTTGAAGACCATTCCTTGCAGCGCTTGTCTGAGTCTGGCCAGCAGCCGGTCCACCATGGCCAGGTAAACTGAAGTCTGCTTTTAACACCATCACTTTCCTCATGAGGGTCAGCAACCTCATTTTCTAGACTTAGCATTGCATTCACCTTGGCGATCCTCTCTGTCTTGTTCATGGTCTTGTTGTCCTAGATTTGGCACAAAACCTTTAGTATCTTGAGGGGCTCCATGCAGAACTCGAGAGCTTCCAGCACCATGCTTCTATCCCTCCAGGATCTGAAGAACTGACCTTGCTCCTTCAACGGTTTAGTTTTGAGCTCAAGATCCTGAAGTATGACTACATAACCTGCAGTGCTCTCTGAAACCCCCTTTCTAAGTTCAGAAACAGCGTCATGTCACCTGCATACTGGGTGATCTTCAGGACTTTCCCCATGCCTCCCTGTATCGCCAAGCGATTGATGGCCAGCTCTTCCCACTTCAGAGTACAGTATCTTTACCCACCAGCTGAAAGTTTCTCTGAATCTGAAGTGCTCCAGCAATCTGAATAGATAGCTGTGGTTTACTCTGTCAAAGACTTTCTCCTGGTTCAGGCTCACTATCATCATGTGCACATTTCGGTCCTTGGCCCAAGGCGACGGCATCTTGAGTGAGCTGGAGGTTCCAGCTGACAGATTGTCCCTCCACTCCAAATGTCTTTTCACTGTTTTATGTGGGCAGGGCTGTCCTCAGTCTGCTGACCAGAAGCTTGAACAAGATCTTAACATCCACGCAAAACGTTTGGGCTTCCAATTTTGGAGGTTAGCCACCCGCCGAAGAGTTGAGGGATGATGCCTTTCCAAATCGTACATCTGAGTTTTCCCTGGCGGAATATTTGTTGCGCCACTGCATTCACTATGTCTGCCAGGGTTTCCCAAAATAGGGGAGAAGGTAAACAAGGAGCTCCAGTGGAACAAAGAGGAGAAAATCCCAGAGAGAATGGCTGAAAGTCTGCTCATCATAGATGAGAACTGCTTGACCCCTTATGAGAGTGAGGCAGAAATAATTAGGAAAACGTCCAGCCAGTGATCTCCTTTTCTACTCCCCAGCTAAACCACGAAACAGCCCTGTGTATTCCCCTCAGTCTTGAATGACAGGAGTTATATTTAAGGCAACACCAAATATAGCAATATATAACTCTGGTCCATTTAAAATATAAGCTCAATTGGCAAATAATTTTAATAAAAATCTGTCGTACCAGTAAAGTTTACTTTCACGTCTGCTAGTGTCAGGATGCTAAGATACTGAGTGAAAAAACAATTTTTCTCTACGTGGCCTCCCTGTCATTCTCAGTATGTTTCGTATAGGAACCACCTGAGGAATGAAAGAGACAAACTGACATTCTTGAAAGAACGCTGTAGTGTAGGAGGACTTACACTCTTACAGGATGGGAATCTTCCTTGAGACATAAAGGTGAGTGTCACCTTCAGTGTTGTGTAGGGCTAGCTCCTCGTCGCAGACATTGACTGCAGAGGACAGAAGATGAGAGCGATTAACGTCAAAGCTCTAACTGCATCCTCAGAATGGAAGGAAATGTTCGCTTACCTGGCTGACTGCTGCACAACAAACAGGCAGGTTATACTCACTGGTGACTTAAATGTAGACTGTGAGAAGGAGGGTGACACCAGTTCAGCAGAGCTAGAGTCATTGCTCAAGCAATTCTCCTTGGAGGATGGTTTTCAGAGGTGTTGCCCAAATGATGCAGGAATGACTTGGAGAAACTTCAGGGAACTGTGCAGTCGCCTGGATTACATCTTTGTGCATGTGACCTGCTCTCTAGAGCCCACAGTTCTGTCCCAGTTTTGATATTCTGACCACGACTGCATGTTAGTGGTGGCTAATGTCAACATGCTGGCATTTGGTCAGTGGTTTTGGAAGCAGAATTGGGAGATATGGGAGGAAGACAGCTCCAGACCACTGCTCAGAGAACATTACGAGGGACAAATGGTGGCTATAGCTCGGTAGTGGAGTGTTAGGAAGCAGTGAAGGAGAGGACCAGAACCCTGCCAGCACAGACCTACTGTAGAAGGAAGGCGGCCAGGGAAACTATGTGTTTCAAGAAACAGCTGGAGGATGAATACAGCTCAGCTAACAGGAGAGGAGCATTCCATTCAGCAAGGAATTCTACTCCTGCTTCTGGGGGTGAGTAAGCGTTAGCACCTTACTTGGGGGGGTAAATACTTCCTATATTGGGGAGACTGGCTCAGTGGTCTGTACCTAGCATCCGGGACAGTGTGTTAAAGCAGAGTCCAGGCAAGTTCTGGAAAATGATGTTGGAATAAGGCAGTGGTTCTCAAACTTTTTGGACCAAGTACCACCCCTAATCCAACCAAAGTATCCAAGTACCACCTACAAGTCATCATCTCATAGGAACCCCAGAAATTA